CAAAGGCTCAATGTCCAGCTGGAGATCAGTGACAAGTGGTGTCCCCCAGGGGTCCGTATTGGGACTGGTACTGTTTAATACCTTCATCTATGACATATAAACAGTGGGATTGAGTGCACCCTCAGCAAGTTTGCAGATGACACCAAGCTGAGTGGTGCTGTTGACATGCCTGAGGGATGGGATGCCATTCAGAGGGACCTGGACAAGCTCCAGAAGTGGGCCCATGTGAACCTCATGAGATTCAACAAGGCCAAGTGCAAGGTCCTGCACCTACCAGGGGCTGGGGAAACTCCTGGCATTAATACAGGCTGGGAGATGAAGGGATTGAAGGATGAAAGCAGCCCTGCAAAGAAGGACTTGGGGGTACTGGTGGATGAAAAACTGGACATGAGCTGACAATGTGCACTTGCAGCCCAGAAGGCCAACCGCATCCTGGGCTGCATCAAAAGAAGCGTGGCCAGCAGGTCAAGGGAAGTGATTCTGCCCCTCTACTCTGCTCTGGTGAGACCCCATGTGGAGTTCTGTGTCCAGCTCTAGAACACTCAGCACAAGAAAGACATGGATCTGTTGGAGTGGGTCCAGAGGAGGGCTACAAAAATGATCAAAGGGATGGAACACCTCTCCTGTGAGGAAAGGCTGATGGAATTGGGGTTGTTTAGCCTGGAGAAGAGAGGCTCCGGGGAGACCTTGTTGCGGTCTTTCAATATTTGAAGGAGGCTTGTAAGAAAGATGGGACAAATTTTTTAGCAGGGCCTGTTGCAACAGAACAAGGGGTAATGGTTTTAAGCTAAAAGAGGGTAGAGTCAGACTAGATATAAGGAAGAAATTTTTTACAATGAGGATGGTGAAGCACTGGAACAGGTTGCCCAGAGAGGTGGTAGATGCCCCATCCCTGGAAACGTTCAAGGTCAGATTGGATGGGGCCCTTAGCAACCTGATCTAGTTGAAGATATCCCTGCCCACAGCAGGGGGGGTTGGACTAGATGACCTTTAAAAGGCCCCTTCCAATCCGAACTATTCTATGATTCTATGATCTCAGTCATAGCATTCCTCAGCTTAAAAAAGCTGCATTGAAAAATGAAATTGGTAGTTTAAAAAGGCAAGAAGTATAGTTGGTATACACGCTGGAAACCCCCTTAACAACTGTAGTTTACCTGAAAATTAGTACAAGATAAAGATGCTTAGCATCTTGTCTTTCCTGAAGTTTCCCTGTTTACAAAACTAATTAGCAGACTTTTAGCAGACATCATAACAGTCTGTGAATTTCTTATGTGGCTGACTGACAAATTCAGGCACAGAAACAACTGATATGCCAGCAAAAATTTATACACATATATGGTAGCTGTCTTCACATATAAGGAAATTATATGTCACCAAAACAGGTGTTTGGTGACACTGTATGATTTTGTGTAATAACCTATGTTCACCCTCTACCGCTTCTGGCTAGCAACTACAGTCATGTATTATATGATCCATCTCATTGAGATTTCTCCCCCTAAATTAGCTCATCATGTAATATTTTGTGTTTATTTAAAAAAAAAAAAAAAAAAAACTGAACACTTTTCCTAAGAAAGCAAACAACTAAATAACCAAATAAACTAAAAGTTTCAAGACTTCTCTATTTTTTGCACCTATCATAAAGAAAATGGATAGAAAAGGAACAGGGAGACTGATTATTGAAGATGTAATTCAGTCTCAGAGTTCTGACAATCTCATAAACCTTTATGGGTCTGTCAAAAATTCTTGTCTGAATTACAGGCATGTTATCAATCTCTTTGAAACCATTTTTGTATATGTTATTGGTGTCTCTCTGGCCATTATTCTATGTACAAAACCAAGGTAAAATTAGACTTGGATCATTTCTGCTGGGCTGAAGTTTGCCTTTATTTCTTTCGAGTAAGTTTTACACTGGAGAATACTCTTGATGCTCTCACACATTTCTTTAACCTCTCCAGAAGAAACTTTTAAAGATTTGAAAGTCAAATAAAAATTGAACTTTCTAAAAGATGATAAACAGGAAACATTTTTAGCAGCTCTTTACCTTGTTTTGTGTATAAGTTGCCAAGTTTTCTTATTTTTTCCTAATGTTGTAAAGGTAACCCATTTACCTACCAAAACAGAGCTTGCACGTACTTGCTCATTTATACTCTCCAGTTCCCAGTACTCACACCACAGGAGAGAATGATGACCAACCCTTATGAGCATTTCACTAGATTAATAGATGTTAACAACAATTTTATTAGGTAATAATTGACCTAATCTGTCTAACTTGAGGTCATAAATACTTGTATTGGGTGTCCATGGCAAGGTGGTGGCAGCATGGGGCTGCAGGGTGGCCTCTGTGGGAAGACATCAGGGGCTGCCCTATGCTGGACACAGACAGTTCCAGCCAGCCCCAATGGACCCACCACAGGACACAGCCGAGCCCCTCAGGCAAGTGTGCGGTGCCACTCTAAAAACTTATTTAAGAAAGGGAAAAAAACACCAGAGAAAGTGGAGAGAATAAAAAGGGTGAGAAAGAGCAGGGGGAACACCAAGGTCCGAGCAGGAGGAGGAGGAGTTACTCCATGGTAGAGCAGATCTCCACACTGCAGCTCATGGAAGACACACACTACTGCAGATGGCTATTCCTGAAGAAAGTGCAGCCCATGGAGACCCCACACTGGAGCAGACGAAAAGTGTGAGGAGGAAGCAGAAGCAGTTAGAAACCACTGTGTACTGGCAAGAAATGCCCCCTCCTCCCTGCACCGCTCAGGGCTGGGAGAGGGCTCTGACGTGAAGGAATGAAGTTGATCTTGGGAGAGAGGGGAGGAAAGATGCTGTTTTAATGCCTTTGTTTCTTACTACCCAAATATATATTGGCAAATATTAAATTAATCTTCCCCAAGTACAGTCTGTTTCGCCCATGATAGTAAATGGCAAACAATCTCCCTGCCTTTTATCTCAACCCATGAGCTTTCTTATCCTATTTTCTCCTGATGTCATGCTGAGGAGGGGGAGGGAGTGAGCAGCTGGGTGGGTGTTTGGTTATTAGCCAAGGTTAGCCCACCACAACACTTCACAGTGTCTTTCTGTTTTCCCTTTTTAGACTGTTCAGACTAATTCAATATTTTAATTCATTAGTTACCTGCCAGTGACTACCACCTTTTGCCCATCTGAGAATCAAACATCAGACAACTATTACATTAGCAAGGATACTGATGCAATTGCTCTGAATAACATCAGCCATATTGAGTACACTGAAGGCCAAACACTTTGTAGCATTTTAAATCATTTGACAAAAGTGTTCCTTTAATTGTGTGTTTGGCTTCCAAAGCTGATTCTGGGAAACTAATTTTATAAACTAAATCAGAAGAGTTTGTGTAGCCTACCTCTCAGGCCACTGCAAGTATAAATTCAGTGCTGGCCTCCAGAGGAACAAGGAAACACAATTGACAATGCCAATATTTTTCTTCTTGACCTTTTAGACCATGTTAACATGATGTTGCTTACAGTTTTTGCTCTTATATAAAGCCATTTGTGCAGCTCCAATTTTTTTCAATAGATTGTAAGTGAACCATTACCAAGCAGCCTACACTCAGTTTTAGTGGCTTTCAATCCCATTGAATAGGAGACTGCCAGAAGGGAACAACGTTTTTGAGCTTTCCAAGAGAAACACTGGTTAGGATTTAGCCCTGCAAAGACTTACATGCACAGTTAGGTTTACGTAACGTTACAAAGGCTACCCATAATGCATAGACATGAATAAGTCTTCACACTAAAAGACCTTTAGAAGCAACTGGGAAAATACTCATTGATTTTAACATACCAATGACTGGGGCTAAATTCACCATTCTCGTCCACAAGTTTGAATACGCTCACTTTTCCTAGATATTTATATTTAATTCCTTTGCCTGTTCAGGATATATCCTTTTTCTGATTCCATTATGGTTCCTTTTTATCAGTTAAGTTTTATCTGGTTTGTCCCCTATCTTTGCTATCTGAAGGAGGAAGAGAAGAAGGAGAAAGGAGACCTGCACTGTTTGTGCTGTTGCTAGCATTTCTATGCAATGTCCACTTACGATGTGAAGCTAATGTTCGCCCTTTGTTTCTGTTTCCTTCGTATCTTTTTTTTAACAATTCTTTTCAGATAAACAACCTTAGAGTGAAAAATCAGAGGGGAAACTTAGTTACTGTTTGCATTTCCTCAGAACAGAACATAAGCATGGCCAAACCAGATCTCACGTAAATTTAATCCACTCCATCATTGCCTGTAAATCGCCACAACAGATGTTTAGAGAAAAAGTAGGAATCAGTAGAGAAGAGCCTGTCACTTCTCCCCAAAGCTCCGCTCACTCATCCTCCAGGAATCAGGATATTAAGAACCTGAGAAATACAGATGACATCTAAAACTGTGGTTAGGTACCAGCCAATAGTTTCATTTCTCCCTGAACAATAAGTCTCAAAGCAGCTGTGGCAGAGAGCAGTTATGCATCCAACACAAGAAACAATGTTGGTGCATGCCTGGGAGTCCTTTTCTCAGTCTTTATTATATATTCATACCATGCCTCACAGGTAATATCCCATTCAGATGGATGCTCATAGCAACATGCAGTGTTGTTTATAAAACTCTCCATGCTTTTTTTAAAGGAAAACAGTTGCTGGGAACAAATGAAGGTAGGTATGTGAATTTGACTGTCAAGATGCACTTCACTTTCACAGAAAATAGCTATTTGCAGCCTTCTTCTTATCACCACTGGCCAAATCCCCTTTGGGAACATGTCCTCCTTCATATATCAGAATAAATACAAGCAAAATTTAGTCACTTGAAAACCAAAACAAAGAAGCTTGGTCCCATTTAACTGCTGCTAAGGCATTTTCAGTGATATTACTACCAAACCGTTACCGCTAAAAACTGCAAGGCAAGTGATTTAATCTGTTACGAAAAGATTTTAAGACTGTGATAAAATACCTTATAAGCCAAATAAAAAAGATGGAAGAAACATAGTTTGTTATCTTACTTCAAACGGGAGCTCTGTTATTTCCATATTTCCAGACAAATCCAGTTTTTCCAGATTCTCACAATCACCCAATTCTGGAGGGACTGACTTCAAATTATTGAAACTCACATTGAGCACTTTGAGTTTTTTTAAGCAGCCTGTGAGGGAAAGATAATTACAATCAGTGTATTAAAAAAAGTAACTGAAGGGAGAAAGTAAAAATAAAAGGTATACTCACTTTAACAAAGAAAAAAATCCTTAATGTGATGATGAGTAAAAGATTAATAAATATTTTCTGCAGTGTTCACTAACATGGAGGGAGGGACAATAGTGCTGTGATGCACTCATATGGACTTCCTTTAACCAGCAATGGTTTTGGCGAGAGTTTGAAAGGAGGCAACAAAGACTTGCAAAGATCTTGATTCTACCAGGGATGCGGTACCTGTTGAACTCAGCTGAAACTAGAGAAGTTGGCTTTTGGTTTGGTCACTTTAGAAAACTTGCCTGCTAACTAAAAAACTTCTTAATATTTTTTTTAGAACCTGTTCATTGGGAACAATCACTCCTTCTAAACATACTACATCAAGAATTGTCTTTGGTATCCAGCACTGCATACTTTTGATTATAAAAGATAACGGATTTGTTTCATTATTTTCTTTACTGCAATTTGTCGTCTTTGTCAGCTTAATTTTAAGGCCCTTATAATATTCTAGGCTACATTTAGTCACATTGTACTTTCTGTTTCTTTGATTTATAACATTACATAATCTTCAGTAAAAACAGATTTGAAACATCATTAAAATGCAAAATGTATTATACTGAAAAAATGCAAATTATACTGCGACATAGTTAAAAGCGAAGGAAGTAAGGAATCTGAATGTATTCAAATAGCTGACGTGTTAGCAAAGGAATCCTTACATACACACATAAAACGAGAACATTCTGTGGACAGCTGTGCTGCTGTATTACATGGACGATCATAGAATCACGGAATCACAGAATCACAAAATGGTTTCAGTTGGAAGGGACCTTCAAAGATCATCTAGTCCAAAGCCCCATCCAACCTGACTTTGAACACTTCCCATGATGAGGCATCCACAACTTCTTTAGGAAATCTGTTCCAGTGTCTCACCACCCTAACCGTAAAAAATTTCTTCCTAATGCCCAGTCTAAATCTATCCTCTTCCACTTTAAAACCATTGTCCCTTGTCCTGCCACTACAGGCCCTACTAAAAAGTCTTTCTCCATCTTTCTCATAAGCCTGCTTCATATATTGAAAGGCTGCAATAAGGTCTCCCTGGAGTCTTCTATCCTCCAGGCTGAACAACCCCAACTCTCTCAGACTTTCCTCATAGGAGAGGTGCTCCAGCCCTCTGATCATTTTCATGGTCCTCCTCTGGACCCACTCTAACAGGTCTCTATCTTTTTTGTACTGGGGATCCCAGAACTGGATGCAGTACTCCAGGTGGAGTCTCACAAGCATGGAGTATTAGGGGAGAATCATCTCCTCGACCTGCTGGCCACGCTTCTTTTGATTCAACCCAGGATACAATTGGCTTTCTGGGCTGCAAGTGCACATTGCCAGCTCATATCCAATTTCTCATCCACCAGTATCCCCAAGTCCTTCCCTGTGGGGCTGCTCTCAATCCATTCATCCCCCAGTCTATATTGATACTGGGAATTGCCCCAACCCAGGCACAGGATCTTGCACTTGGCCTTGTTGACTTTCACGAGGTTCACATAGGCCCACTCCTCAAGCCTGTCAAGGTCCCCCTGGATGGCATCCCTTCCCTCAAGCGTATCAACTGTACCACTCAGCTTGGTATCATCTGCAATATTCCCCTCTAATCAGTGATATTCCTGTGATATTCCCCTCTAACCAGTGATAGAGTACACCATTCACAAGAAAAAGCAGCGGTAAGAAACTTAAATGCAATTCAGCAGTTGGAAATTGGAAAAGAACAGCATCTTGTGTCAACAGGTTCTCAAAGCAGACTATATATTGGCAAACCAAGACAAGACATACACGAGATTCACAATTTTATATTATATCAGTCTTTTATTTCTAATGGAATTTTAAAAAAGAATCTGGTGTTTCATGGGATTTGGATGACACTGGAGAGAATCTCTCTACAGTGCATCTCAAGTGCTCAAAACAGCGTCATAGTAGTGAGCTTATCCTCAAGGCACTAATGTTTAGTTAAACTCCCTCCAAAGCAAAAGTTGTTTTAGAGCTGCTCACCTTTTGCAATCTTTACCAGAGGCCAGATGGTGTTTCCACAGAAAAGGACAGAGAAGAAAAATAGGGAATTGAAAGCCCCGCATTTTTCCCTGAGAAATTGCTCTTGTCAGAGGCAGAGGCATGTAGTTTGATGACCAATACTAGCAACCACCAAATAACACAACATTCTACATAAAACCCAGAGTCTCCCTTGGACACAACATTGTCTTCAAATGATGGCTGCACAACCCAGATCTTTCTCACAGGTTGCAGATGTGTATGGTAAGAACTCCATTATATTAATCCCTACAGGTTGCAACAGAGAAAAATATAGAAGCTTCCACTCAGCTTCCTCCCAGTTTTAGCTCTGTCAGAAATAGAAATTGAGGTGGTATTTCAAAATTCAGCTGTCCTTTTAGGAAGGTAACCTTGATCTTTCCTATTTGCTGTGAAGTGTTGTTTTAATTAAAATAGCAGAAGCAAAATTTTCTGTAAGACTACAACAGACATTGTTTTGGCAGTACATTACTGTCCCACAAGGGTCATTGGTGCTGGTGCAAGAGAGTAGTAGAAGCAACTTAATGGTGTAAATGTGTGAACCACCTTATTTCCAGATTTCTAAGCACAGAAAAGTAATAAAAGTTTAGCCCACCCATGATGAAGCCTCACCAGGTTGACATGACGTAGACAAATGAAGGTATTACATCACATGCTAAGTGGCATATACATCAACTTGCCACCTCATTGCAACAAACTAATCACTGAAGCAGAAATGCCTTAAAATAAAATAGAGAATCAGAGAATTGCAGATTAATTCCTCGTCCAATTAATCCCTCAGTAAAGAACAAATCCCATTGGAATGAAAAAGGAACTCTTAACTCACTAGCACTAGTGTGTTTTGTCTTTTCTTTTAGCAATGGGATATTGCACTGGGTCTGTCTGGAATGGAGTTAATTTTCTTCAGAGCAGCCTGTATGGTGCTATGTTTTGGATCTGTGACCAAACAGCGGTGATAACACACCAAAGTTTTCTCTACTGCTGAACAGTGCTTACACAGCATGAAGGCCTTCTCTTGCTTCTCACTCTGCTACCCCAGTGAGTCAGCTAGGGGTGGGCAAGAAGCTGGGAGGGGACAGGACCGAGACACTGGACCCAAATGGACCAAAGGAATATACCATAGCATATAACATCACGTTCAGCAGTAAAAGCTGGGGGCGTGAAAGGAATGGGGAGGGAGTTTTCCAAGGTGGCTATTGCTCAGGGACTGGCTGGGCTTTGGTCAGCTGGTGGTGAGCAACTGCTTTTGCATCACTTGTTTGTTCGTTTGCTTGTTTGTTTTTCTTCACTTATTAAACTGTCTTAATCCTGATGCATGAGTTTTCTCACTTTTGCCCTTCCAATTGTCTCCCCACCCTGCTGTGAGAGACTGAACAAGCAGCTGTGCAGGGCTGAGCAAGCTGTGTGAGACTTAGCTGCCTATGAGTGTTAACCCACAACAGATGTATTTCCTAATTTTTCAGCCACTGAAATTTCTACCTCTCAGTTCTATTAGTAGCTGGAGAGCTAATGTAGACAAGGCATCTAGTGTAACCAACATCCTACTCATCCTGTTGTCTAACTCTGTTCAGATGATGCATTTCCAGTGCATAACTAGGAGACATGGAGCAGAATTGCTTACAAAAAAAAAATCACAAAAATGTAACAGCCTTTCTGGGCAGCGTGATGGAGACAAGCACAGTTTCCCTTTCTGACTTTCCTGCCTTCTGAAACTATGGCTTTTCAAGCTTTTTTCTCCTTTCGCAGTTTTTAACACGTATGTCAATGTTCACAATATGGTTTGTCCCAGCTTGTAGGTATGAGAAAGCAAGTAAGTAGAAGAGGCATCACATTTGTTCTTGTCATATATAATCTCTCTCTCATCTGACAGAAACGCACTACCATATCTACAGTCAATTGCAGTAATTGCTGTGGCTAAGATTATGAAAATTACTAGAAAAAGCCAGGAGTCTTACAACTGAATTTAATTCTGATAACAAACTCAGGACAACACAGATGAGTGGAATACAGTTCACCGAGATCTGCCTGTGGGGAGCAATCTCTTCCAATTCTGTAATGGCTATTTTTTCACCTCTGGGCTCACCAGTTGATTAAGTTATGCCACCTGACAGCTGAGCAGTAGTCAAGCATTAACCCTCCCTCTAGGACCATAAGGCATACATAGGACTCGCCAAGACCTCCTGGATAAAACCCTTACCCCACCACTTCACATAGCCCCATTTTTTTAATTTATCACATTCCATCTTAAGAGTAGTTTGGTTTTTTTAAATCCATTGCTTTTATGGAAAAACAAAGTTACAGAGTTTCATCCTTTTCATGATTTGGAATGGTCTTCACATTGCCAGTCTGAATTTGTTTGTAGAAGTTTTATAACCATTAATTCTTTTGCCCATTTTATCTTTAAATAGCTCTTTTCCTTCCCTGGTGTTTGCTTCTCTAATGTTTTCATAGGTAGCAGACATATCAGAATTTATTTTACTAGCCTGAATAAGGCAATTCTTCTAATCTCCTCTCACAAAATAAAAATTCCCCTCCTCAAATGGTCCTAATAGACTTCTTTTGCATCTGTTCACATCTGAAATAAATTTTCTTGAATCTGGGTGACCACAACTTTATGTATGTATCATACTGGATTGTGCTTCTGTGACTGTTGGATTAGGAATTTCGTTTCTTCAATTATTTGCATTTAATGAACTCATGACTTGCTGCACAATTAGCTCCCTAGTACATGACCTTGAACTCTGAAATCATGAATCCAATCTCTCTACTTTTTTGGAAGCCCACCTGCTCGTCCAGCTTTTCGTATTTCCTCCTGTTTGTGCAGTGACAATAACACCCAAACTGTGCCAGCAAAAATTTCAGTAGCCCAGTTCCTCTAAA